ATTAATTATTAAAAGGAAAAAAAAAAAATTTAAAAAAAAAAAAAAAAAAAAAAAAAAAAAAAAAAAAAAAAAACCTAGAAAAATGAATTATGTTAAGGCAATATGCAGAGGACATGCCATTTCATTTACCCCTCAAGTTTTCATCACTGTTTCGTTTTGTTCTTTTCTTCAAATGAAAAATCACATCAAAGTTCATCCAAATCAATGATAATCAGCTACAAGATAATTTAATTTCTTCGTTTTGTTAACTTTTCACATAAAACCTCATCAAGAAAAGTACCCCAAAAGGTAGAAACAGACATTCAACTCATAAAAAAATGATTAATAATATAAATTAAATTCAAAAAAGCAAGAAAACAAAATCTTACCTACTGCAGAGAAAAGCAAAACATGAGATGATGTTCTCCCTCCTCTGCTGCCCAAGAAAAAAGAGCTTAAACTCAAATTTCACTTAATTACTCCCAAAAACGGGGGAAAAAAAAAGTGCTACCACACACGTAAACCTCTGCAGACAAAGAACAGCCTATTTCTCAAAACAAATTATTATCAAAACGTCAAGATTTAATGGAAGCTTCGCTACTGCTTTTTTCCTTTTCCTAAAAAAAAAAATCCAACTTTAGAATGAAATTTAACATTCAATCCTCCAGAACCATCTGTTTCTTCTTGTATAATTCAGAGGTAAAAAAGGCAGACGAAACACTCAGACATTTGGATCCCTAGTGAATGAACCAAACTAATGAACCCACCTGGCAATTTATCTTTAGCTTCCACCCCCCCTTTAAATCACAACCCAAACCAGAGAGAGAGAGAGAATGATCTGTGGGCAATCTTTCACCAAACGAAATTGCAGAGAGAGAGGAAGAGATGGAAACAAGCACAGCAGCCTCTGCTGAATGGTCAGAAAACGTCATAAAAGCAGAAGCAAAAGTGTTCTGCTACGCGTAAACCGGACTATCAAACCCGGCGCACAAATAGCAAAAGCAGAAACAGTATAGAATTGCTGATTATTAGCGTCAACGTAATAAATTCAAAATCATTCCATACTACAGTTGATTTGTATTTGTCTAAATATCTCTTACCATTGATTGAAACCCTTTTGGCCAACTTTTACCAAATTTTATTAAGGCTCGTTTGGTATCTATTTTTTTGAAAATGTATTTTTCAGTTTATTCTTTTTAACTACACATTTTTTATTAAAATAATATTATACGTAAATTAAAAAAATTTCCTTATTTTACAACCATACATTTCCTATCAATTTACTATTCAAAAATGCATTTTTACGTAAAAATATCACTCAAACACTAAACAACCCCTAAGTTTTTATCAAAACCAACCAAAGGCTAAAAGTTTTTCAAAATGGTACTAAATTATTTATAATATTTCTAAATATTGTTGAATTTTAAAAATTTCTAAATTATTGATATAATCATTACAATGTTATCGTATTTGTCATTTTGTCACTTGCCATTTTAAACCTATTACTCACGATTTTGGTGACCTAGCATGCACTAGCGTCGAAAGCATATCACTATAAACACTTCACATATTCGTTAACTTTAAAATGACGAGGAACAAAGTTGCGGATCAAATAATATTTTAACAAATTTTATGGAAAAGTTAATTTTGATTCTCCATGTCCACAAAGGAATTTGATATTCCGAATGAAGATATTAGTCACTTTCTGTTCACAATTTTAAATTTTAATTGGCTGAGTTTCAACATCCTTTGTTGGGTTTACGAATTAAAAAAAAAAAAAAAGGTGCTTTTGCTAATTGGCTCACCAAAAGCAGCTGCAAAGAAACTACAAGAAGATAAAATATTTTTGAGTAAATTTAATCGATGCTCACTAAACTTTAGTATACATTACTACCCGCTCACCGAACATTAAAACATTACTCATTGCTCACTCATCTATGAAATTGCTTACCCATTAATCACCCAACTGATCTCCATCATTCTAGACTAACGGAATGTGCCACGTGGCACATAAATCAGACGGAAAATCAAAATACTTAGCTGGAACACGGAAGGCGAATGCCCAGTCGGCATGGGTTCACAAATCCTGTCGTTCAACACCAAACCCAGGCGAAATCCCACCTCTGTCTGCACTAAATGACTAACCAAAAACCACAAAACAAGGGATGACGAATGGAATGTAAGCCGGAATTTCCACCACTATGAGCCGCCAATCGGGGGACAATAGCAGCCCAAATTCATCTTCCCTACCACCGATCTCTTCACCTTTCGACTAAGTTATCTAAGCACTCTGTGCGAGAGATTTGACCACAGTAACTTCCATGAAAGTTTTTTGGATTTCTAATTTATCAAAACCCAAATTCGCCCACAAATCCATGAACAATCAGAATCGCCCCCAATTCCAGCTTCCATTTTCTTGCCCCAAATCGAAACCCAAGTTTGCCCCTAAACTCATGAATACTGAAGAACCCAAAAAATTGCACCTGAGTCTGCTGCACTGACTGAGCTATATTCAAAGTCCAAGAAATGGAGGGAGAAGAATCAAGAAATGGAGGGAGAAGATGAAGATGAAGATCCAGGAGCTATATTCACTTTTGGCCGGCCTAATTCATGTGTGATGTGCCACGTTGGATTCCGGTCACCACGTGGTAGAGTCCGTTAGTTTAGGTGACGGAAATGGGATGAGTGATCAACTGGTAAACAATTTGATAAATGAGTGAGCAACGAGTAATGTTTTAATGTTGGGTGAGCAAGTAGTAATGTACACTAAAGTTTAGTGAGCATTGATTAAATTTACTCAAATATTTTTTGATGGGATTGTGAGGGCCTACTTGATGCGGATGCGGGATATCGCCACTTTCAACAAATATAATTTTACCAATAATTTAAAATAACGTCAACCATAGTAAACTCTTTTCTTTTTTAAGTTTATTTTTAACTACAAATTTTTCTATTAAAATAAGTTTACACATAAATTTATATTTTTTCTTACTTTCTAGCTACCAAAAAAAAAAAAAAAAAAAAGGAGTTCAAACATGACATTAATGCCCCGTTTGCCCCCCATTTTTTTCAAAATTTTAATGTTTAGAATAATATTTTTTGAAGAATGTGTAGTTACAAAAGAATGAAAAATTTTTGATTTACGTATAATATTATTTTTGAAAAATTATGTAGTTAAAAATAAGATAGGAAAAAAATGAAAGAGGGCCATCTGTGACACAAAAGTTTCATTAAAAAACAAATTTATAGTCAAATATGATGAAATGGGACTTTGCTAAACTTCATTTTTAGTACATTTGTGGTATGTGACTGTAGGCTTGGGTCTTTCATGCGGGGCCTCTTGAAGATGGGTCAACTTTCGAGTAGTTTGTGATTGGATGTAGCTAGTACAATTATATTCAAATAATAATTTCATTTTAATTTATTTTAATTGAGGTGATTTGTCCATTTCTACATAAGGAAAATCATGATGTGTCAATCAATAAATAACAATCGTCACAAAAGATTGTCAGTTGGTGACTAGGAATAATTGCAATTTCAAATAAATTGATGATAACATAGCCATCATTATTGACTACCACATCATCAATTTTAAACAGTTCAAGTGACACAATTGAATGATGTTATTGACTTGAAATTAAATTGAAGTATAGTACCCAATTGAACAATATTTTAATACAATTGTCTCAAAAACTAGGGTGAAAGTATAGTTATCGCAATTGAATTTTACGCAATTCTCTTTTCTTTGTTAATGATCAATTCAGTCTCAGATCTTTATGAGTTAAGCCAGTGCGGAAAATTATATTTTTTATCTAAAAAATATAAGTCAAAAGGACAAAAACTTTTCTTTTCTCAAGTTGGATTCAAAATATCCATGAGTTTACAAGTTCGCACACGTACTGCCAATAAGTGTGTAGGGGAAAAAACTCACTTGATGCAGCAAATCGTTAACAGCTATAAAATAAGATGAATAAATTAACTCTGAAAGCATCACAATACAAATGTTTTTTTTTTTTACTTCTCAACTTCTCGTTGCACAGATCAAATATACTCATGTATATTGCATACCCCACATGTACCATTTTTTACTTCTACTTTTTGTCGTCGCGCTTTTTATCCCAACAATCTCTTTAAGTCTCTATCATGTACCACCGTATTTTCAGATCAAGGTAATCGACTCATTGGCCATTAAGGCGCGCATCCACATGCTACAATTTTTTATTTTTTTTCAAGCTTTCCTCTCTCTCTCACAATGTATCCCTATCTTTTCTTCCATCGTATTGATATACACAATTCACGTATATATGGAACAAGTAGAAACATAATTGCATAGATACTTTTACCATACAGGTTCCATAATAT